ATATCTATATATATCTATATATATACAGATATATATATAGATATATATAGATATATATATATATCAATCAATCTGTGTATCACTACCTAATTAAAGCAGAACACATTAAACACATTACTTATATGTGAGTTATTTGGAGCTAACCTCTGTCTTCAGAATATTATACCTTGGCAGCAGATGAAGTTATTTGGGGACTTTGCTAAACACTGACTGTTTCCTTTTAGAACCGTGGTAGAGTCTGGCCTGAAGTTTGTGTCTCGCCAGGCATTCCGCAAGAACCTCAAACTTACTTACATGTGAGTAATCAATTTCTTACTTGAGCAAATGCTGTGCCATTATAGCAGATGATCTGCAGTATACAGACATTCCTTGAAAGTGTTACTACACCTCTGAATCATATAAAGACAAGCTGTTTGGGCTTTTACTACACATTACAAAAAGATGTGATACGTAACCTTGAAGTTTAAAATTACACCGAAATCCTAGTAAGATTCTCGGAATATATATATAGCCTTTTTTTTTTCTTTTCTAGCTGGCTTAGTCAACATTTTGTTTTTAGCTTGCATAGCCCACATTAATGAATATCTAAAATTACAGAAGGTGTCAAATGTCTATTGCTGCTTAGCCTTGTGTCAAGTCTCTTAACTGACATACAGTATAATTAGACCGTTATTAATGTTTCTAGTATACAGACATGGTCCAGTTATTACAGACATAAGGAATGTGTTTGTTCATTAAAAAAACCCTGAAGGTTATCTTAAGGAACAACTCCAGTTAAAAATTATATTAACCCTTGCAGTGGGGCTACCCCTGCACTGCAAGGGTTAATTGCTTGTTTTTACCTAGGGTTAAAATTAACAAAGTTATACTCACCTGATCTTATGAGTCAGCCCTCCCTCCAGCTTGTCTCCTCCTATGCTGGAGCGATGTAATGTCCCTTAGATTCCTCAAATCCTTTACACAGTGTATTGGACGTGAAGACTCAGGGACCTTAGACTAATGCATAGAAGGGGGAGAAAGGCTCCAGGAACCAGTCTAAGAGCAAGCTGGCTTGCAGATCTGGTGAGTAGAACTAGCAAAAACGAGCTACCCCCGCACTGCAAGGGTTAAAAAACATTTTAACTAGAGTTCTGCTTTAAATGTATGTTTCTAGATTAACTATTGCATTAACTAAAGGTTTAAATCTATAGCTGGATTATGCTGGATGGAGACAAGAAATTACATACAAACATACTGTATGTATTTCCTACCCTGCTGAACAAATTCATCATTTATTGTGTATTTTGAAAATTACATGTTACCTGTTATTGTGCTTTACAAAGAGAGTATACATGTTTCTTAAAGAATCAATATTTTGCATATAGTTAAATTTTGATTGCTGTCCCTCTGCTTAGGAATGTCTCCCAATGTTTTCTATATGCTATGGGGACATAGACAGTAATAGGAACCTTATAGAAGATCTAAGCAAACCCCCCTCCACTCCCAAAAGAAAAAATGTCTGGCCATTATACAACTTGGGACCTTTTACGTTTCTGTTAGTATTGTAAAAATCTTCAATGACCTTATTGTTTGTCTAAAAAGTTAAATTTGTGGCAAAAGTCTCTGAAGTAATGTCACGTGCTGCTTAGCTACTTCTTACACAGCAGAGATAAGATAGTAGTCTGATCTCCAGGATGTATAGAGTTTAAGATTCACCGTACTTGCGCCTCAGTATTCGGCATCTTGCTTAGCCAAAGTAGACTATAGACAGCACACGGGGGTCTGTAAGGGTGTGATCAGATCTTTATGTCACTACACAACTTACCCCATGTACTTATATTATATGGGCCATACTTCTTTGGTTAGACCCCAGAATATTACTAATTCATTGATTCTGGATATTATGGCATTTAGTGATTTTAAACATAAATATTTCATTTTTTTGCAGAGACCTTTCCAGAAATAAGCTGACAACTTTAAACAGAAGATTATTTCGACATCTCTCACTGACACACCTGTAAGATATATTTTCAATAACTATCAAGCTTTATTTAAAACCTTAACATGAATTAGGCTTTATGTAAGCTTCAGTATAGATATTATGATTGCTATATTGTATGAGCAATTATGCTGCTGTGCCCGCATGCATGTCTTTAAATAGTGTATGTTGATGAATGAATGATGACCACATGCTTGTCTTCTACATACTGTTTGGCCCAGATGCATGGACAGGATTTGATTGGAGTATGGTGGAAAGTAGCAAAGTTCCCTGATTGATGAGAAAGCTGCAAAGTATGCTTTATTATACAGCACTCTACTAAGCCCCCCACCCTTAAAAATTAACACTAACATTTAATGATACCCCAAGTAAGCCCTTGACACTAAACCACCTCACCTTCAAGTCTTACGACTTAAGTGGGCCCTTAAAGATACTCTGTTACTTTAATAATACTGAAAACTGCTGACTGAAGTGCAGGTACCCAGAGGTGTCTTCTGTCCACCAACTCTAGCCCTAATACTAATTAACCCCTTATTCATCATACTCACTCTGTGTCAGGAGCCTCCGTGTCAAAATGACACAGTGCTGGGACTAAAATAAACCAGGGGTAAATTCTGGCCACTGAGAGAAACTGCTTCAGTTCGGCCAAGCTATAGCCGTGATAACATTGTGATGGTCATGATATCTCCATCACAGCTGACCTCTCCTTACCTTTACTGATGTAGTAAAACAAATTGCACCTTAAATGATAGGATAGCTCGTGAAAAAAACACAGAACATGAGCCAGGTCATGCGATGCAAGCAACAGTCATCCTAGTTTTGTCTGATACAAATATCAAAGAATAACTTCTGTTTCTTGCCAGCAGATGAAAAATATAGCTATAGTTTTACTGTCATAGGCATGAAAGAGTTGTAAGTTGAGCTGTAACAATATGTTAATTATTACGCCTAATTAACAGACAGACTAGTTAAAGCTTGGTTGACTACAATAAGTAAAGAAAAAATTATTATGCAATGCTACAATGCAGCAATCAATTTTTATGAATAGTTTTTTATATTTTTATGAATACTTGTACCAGCAATATTAGGGTGCTGGACACACAAGCAGAACAGGTAGCATTAGAGTACATTTAGATCAGTAGTGTGGACTACAAAATATACTTAAAGTGTATTACCACTTTTGCATCCAAATTTGATAAAACCCCTCTATATGTTTGTTATTTGTTCCCATTCACACAGCATACAGAGAAATATTTATTTAAAACATTTTCTTACCTTTTAGATGTTTTGTTGCAGCAGGCAACATGACTGAATCCAAGTTTATCTGAGCACTTTCACAGTTATTTGTCCTGATAGAAAAACTTAAGCTGGCAATACACTGTTCTATTTTTGCTGTTCGACTCGTAGGCTCAATGAAAAAAATAGAACAGATTCCTCCATCAATGCGGCAGCAGCACTCAATTTAAGACAGTTCATGAAGAACTGGCCGAAATTCGCACAGTGTATGGACAGCTTTAGGACATAAATATGTATATTGTGTTGCTCTCATTAACTCAATTAACATACATTGCAGAAGCCAGGGTTGTAATCGTTTATCCCTCTGTAAGGACAAGCAGGGTTCACATCTACTTTACAAATTATAATGAAATGAGCCAGCACAATACAAGACAGGGTTAAACCCCTCCCTCCTCAGAGCCCCTCCTAACATTACAAAGAAGAAGAAAGTCAAAATTTTAACCCTTAAGAAGCATTTTTTATAAGTATTTTTTTTAGCTTTTGCTATATGAATGGTGACATGTAAGAAATATAAAATAGGTGTTCTGTCAATTTGGCTGCGAAAGTGGAAATACGCTTTAAAAAGAAATTATTTACCGTATTTTTCTCTCCATAAGACGTACTTTTTTCCCCCCAAAAGGAAGGGGAAAATGTGCCTGCGTCTTATGGAGCGAATCCCGACGCCCGAGACATGCAGTTTCGGGCGCGGGCGAGTAGTTTTTTGTACATTTAGCTCTGCTAAAGCCGAGCTAAATATACAGTAGGAGCCACTGCTCGTTTAATACGGTGATCTAATGAGATCACTCATATTAAAACCGAGCAGCGGCGGCGGCGATCGAGATCACCATAGAGCAGACGAAGAACGGACGTTCTTTGTCTGCTCTGTGTGATCACTGAGACCGTGGCGCTGTAATAAAATGAATGGTGCTGCATGTTCTTAGCATTGTTAGTACAATAATACTGTAAGTTGTAAGATCACAGAGAGATCACATGTCTGTGAGCAACACACAGATACTGCCAGTTAGATTACCCGTGTGCACATTGGATGGCACTCTAGTAATGATGGCGGCTTTAGCTAGCAAATTATTTTCCCAAAATAAAGCCCCTGAATGGGACAAGAGAAGATTTTGAGAGTTGGAGCAACTGTAACAAGTAGTTACATTGTATAGAACCTAATAGTACATAGTAGAACATAATAAAATAGTAATCACTGTCACTTTCAGTACATAAAACATGTGGAAATCATCTTCACAGCATGTTCTATTGCATCTAAAGTCTCATGCTGCGGAGCGTTGAATGTCAGCTTGCAGCAGCTGTATGATAGAGTTATGCTATCTTAGCCAATGTTTGCAGCATCTCATATTGTTGCGCAATAATGTATTGCTTTAAACTAATGTGATGGGTATTGCATGTCCCACAACACACTAAGCTGTGAGATATGCCAATTTCCATTCCGTATTATGTTTCCTTAGCTTCTTGGACCCGTTGTGAGAAAGAGGTCATGTAGTTCAGGAATTTATATTTCTTTTGGATAGTATGATTACAGTGTGGTGTGCCAGAAATGGACAATGTTAACATATTAACCCTTATTTTTTTTAAATAATATAAATAATATCTGGGCATTCAGTTCTTCAATGCCTGAACAGAACTCTGATATTAGTAAACGCATGCTATTATGTTCATTAGTCTATTCATCCAATTGTAATCAAACAGCCCCTCCACCCCATACCTTCTATTGCCATATGCATCAACACCTACATTTGCAGTGTGGGCTGGCCATGTAGGAGCTAGGTGATCACATACAAAAGAACAGAACTCTGCAACGGTTGGTCTTTAGGGTCGTAAAGTTCTCCCTTACATTTCCTGCTGTGCTGGTCCAGAGCAGCTCTGCTTTGTAGAATATGACTGACCAGCACCGCTCATGCTGGTGGCAGTAGAGAGGGACCAGGCCCCTTTGGAACAGGGTCTTAGTCTTAGTTGCAACTGTTAGAGCCCATAGTCCTATTTCTATTCAAGCATATGTGCTTGAAGTTAAAGGCCCAAGTAGAGATTCAGTTGTTGATTAGCTCACCGTCCAAATAATACAAAAAAAAAAGCTTAAAGGAGAACTATGGGGTAAGTGTTTTTCCCCATTGTTCTCTTAAGGGTAACGGGAGGACACAAACTAGCATCCTCCCGTCACCCAAAGCTCAGTATACCGGAAGCTACAGCTCGCGGTATACTGAGACACCGCAGCCGGGGCGGATCCCGACATTACTGTCTGGATCTACCCAGCTGCGTGAGTGACAGCTGGCTCTGCCTATCTAGAGGCAGAGCCAGCTGTACCCTCCCCCTTCCGTTCCGCCAGTCAGCGCTGGAGGATACGACAGGGGAGGGTGGAAAATCCCTGCAGGGAGCCGTGAGTGACAGTCACGGCTCTCTGCAGGGACAGGATCGAGAAGTGAGTGAGCGATGGTATGTGTTTGCTCACTTCCCGATCTATTGAGCCGACCTGTGACAGTTTCATTGTCACAGGTCGGCTAGAACTATGAGGCTGAGTGATTTTCGCTCGCCTCATAATTCTCCTTTAAATTAAGTTTAGAAATTGTAGGCTGTTAAAATTGAGTTTATGGGACGCAAGGATTTTAGTAAAAGTCAGTGATATCCTGATCACTGCTAGATCTCAAGTGTAGGATTGTTATAACTGAATCAGGTGAGAAACTATTTCTGGGGAAAAAAGGCAGAGGGTTGATACAGAGATGTGGGCCAAATGGCGAAGCCAAAACAAGAACCAGGATAGAGCCAGACAAGTACAAGAAAGCCAGAATTAAGTCAATAATGGGCAAACATAAAATGGGTAGAGATGCCCTTTAAAAAGAGAAAAGACTGCTTGCTGGTTTTGTCAATATCCACATGCACATGTATAAGAATATGCGTATGTCAAAATATTTGAGTTTGTCAAGGAGACACCAAACCAACAGAAGGAGCTAAAGATCTTCTTCTTTGTTCCTTATCAGTAAGTCTAAACCAACCTAGCCCAGCACACTCACAAAGCATATACAGGGCAATTCTTTTTTTTCCTAATCAGTCATTTCATAGCACCATGTTGTGGTATTGTGTGCTAAAAAATAGTACTACACGCAGTATGTTTCATGTTACCCTACAGTGAATTGATGTAAATGAAATGTCACTTTGTGACATTTCAAAAAAGTTCACACAGGCGCATTTGAACACCAGTGCCCGCTCCCTGTGTGACCTGGCCCTTTAACAAGTTTTTAGCACAATGCAGGGTTTAACAGTCATTGTCCAGTGACAGTAATCACAAGCTTGGAAACTATTTGATCCAGAGTGGTCAACTGTATGACAAACAGATACTTGGCAGTGTGTAAAGTTTTGCAAAAACGGAATAACAGATAATATATAATTTTTTATTAAAGAGTTATTTTAATTTTCTATTTTCTTTGTAAATTTGTTTTCTCATTTGTATGATTGAATATTAATGTAGCCTTTTACACATCATGGTGTATTTGATTGTGGTAAATTTTGATTTCTTTTTTCTGTCACTTAAATTGTCATAAAGTGTTTGTGTTAGCGCTGTTGGATTTAGTTATATCTCATTATCACTTATACAGCTGGACTACATTAGGGTGTGGAATGTTAATATGATTCACTTAGGAATGATAAACTGCTTTTAAGGGTCCTTTTAAAGCATTTTGTGATATTGTACAGCCAAGCAATAATTGTTAGATGATCTTTAGAGTACTAGTCAGGAGATTAAATGGAATGCAACTTGCAAGGTCATCACAGCATTAACAATTAAGAGTAACTGATATATGGATTCATCGACACTTATCAGCAGTCTGCCTTGTTAACGATTCTAGTAAATTAAACTGTTCAATAACAAAGTTTGATGGCCCAATCCCTTTGAAACCATTGATTAGACTTCCAGACATTCTACTATTTCCGGTCAAATTAATCTTGGCATACAAAAGCCTTGCACTGTTATGTGGCTACTAGTATCTACAACTAGACCAACACAAGCGACTACTCAAAACTCTGCTCCCCCAGCAGTTTGCCCAGTCCACTTAATCAGGAATACTGATTGCCAGGTTTGCCTGTCTTCAACTCAATGATATAAACTTATTTAAAAATAACAGATTGCAGAACGAGCACTTATGCTGGTATCCCCACAGACAGAAGAATGTCCTTGTGCACACACCCTTAGCCCCAAGACACATAAGCAATCCTGTTGCTGACAGCAACAGGTATGCTAACATACCACTTACCAATTGCTATCGAGTTGATCTCTCGCTAGCTAGACCAGCGAGATATCACAATTACAAAAAGGTAAGGTGGCGCTATTCCATTTAGGTAAGTGGAAGCTTCTTCTCGGTAATTCTGCTGGTTGATGTGTCACCTGCAGCAGAATCTTCTGTGTGAGATGGTCCTTAGTATGGTAATACTAGTCTGTTTGTCCTTTGGCATTGGATGTGTCCTCCAAGAGGGAGACATCCAAAATAGTGAGCTACCTCTTTAAAAAAACACCAGCCCAACACTGACTAGCACTAGTATCTCCTGCACCACTGGTGGCTCAATAGGGGATCATTTTTAAGTAACATGGACAATAGAAACAGCCTCAGAAGTTTTTTTTTTAAAGTTAGGAGGCAGCTGTCATTTGTAAGGAGCACATGGAGCTCCTGGGATTGTACATCTCTTTTTTAATGTATGATTTTGTTTTTATAAATATAAATAAAGGAATGCATCGATACCAGTTTTGCGAGTACAAGTACTGATACTTGCCCAAGTACTTACAAGTACGAGTACTGATACATTTTTGTTTATTGTCATGTGACAGTTTTTCTAAAACAATATCGCCTAATGATTTCAGGACAGTGGTGGAGCACCAGAGCCAGGTCCCAGCTGCAACCGCTGCAACCCTGGCAGTTCTCATGAAAATGTCAAGTATCGGCACTGGTACTCGAAAAGTATCGGTGCATCCCTAGAGTTTAGTGATGGCATCAGAGGTCATAGATAACTAAAGAAAATATGCATTTTGACAAATATAGGGGTTGATTTACTAAAGGCAAATAGACCGATCACTTTGCAAGAGAATTTTCACTTTGTGTCTTACATGTGTCTCAAAGATGTTGATAAGTAAATCTGAATATTGATTACATTTTGAAAGTTGTTATTAAAAAGGTAACTGTTCTTTCAGACTTTTGGGCGACAATCCATTCCAGTGTTCCTGTGATATAATGTGGATAAAGGTGTTTCAAGAGGCAAGCATGTTCAACATGGACAAGCAGAACATAATCTGTCTCAATGAGAATGATAAGAGGATAACGCTGACATTTATGCACATATCCAACTGTGGTAAGTTATTTTTTTTTTCTTGTCTGTCAGCAACCAGAATTCAGTCTAAAGTGATGGCTACTAGTTAATCTAATTCAATGAGATTTAACCCCAGAAATGATCTTTTATTCTGGTTTTCTGCATGCTATTTCTTTAAAAAATAATAAACCAGTTTTATTTGCTTCAACATCAACATGGCTGAATAGAACTTACTAACAGAAGCAAGTTGTATGCAAGTGCTGAGAACCTGTGTTTTCTTCTATTAGGTGTAGTACACATTTTTTCTGTGCCTTTTCTAACCCATAAATGAGTAAATTTGTGTCCAGTGTCAGATCATTTACTTGTTACCACTTCCAATTAGAAAACAATGGGTAAAAGACTTATGCCAGCATTGTGGAAAGTTTAAGCTTTTACATTGTGTTATTATTAGTGCATATTGCTCTATAGTCTGGATCAAAGAATCGTTCATTCAATCCTGTATTCATATTTTCTAAACTTGCTCTAGATGGCTAAGGCCATAAATTGCTATATGCAGTGTGTATTATAGTACAGTTAACAAAAACAGAAATGATGAATTACATTTCTTGCTAAGTGTTGTAATGAGAGCAAATCATTTGCTGAACACATTGTAAATATAATGTCACTAAGACAGGAAAATAATATATTCTAGGTTTACGGACTTGCAGAATATTATATATTTAATGTTTACTGACTTGAAGAATACAGTCATCTTCACAGGACATATATTTGGGCATATACACTCACTAGCCACTATATTAGGTACACCTTGCTAGTACTGGGTTGGACCCCTTTTGTCTTCAGAACTGCTTTAATTCTTCGTAGCATTGATTCAACAAGGTGATGGACACATTCCTTAGAGAGTTTGGTCCATACTGACATTATAGCATCACACAGTTATTGCAGATTTGTTGGCTGCACATCCATGATGCGAAGCTCCACCAGCCTGAACAGTTGGTACAAGGCAGGATGGATCGATGCTTGTTTACATCAAATTCTGACCCGACGACCATCCAAATGTCGCAGAAATCGAGACCCATCAGACCAGGCAACGTTTTTCCAATCTTCTATTTTACAATTTTGGTGAGCCCTTGCAAACTGTAGCCTCAGTTTCCTGTTCTTAGCTGACAGAAGTGACACTCTGTGTGGTCTTCTGTGGCTGTAGCCCATCTGCTTCAAGGTTCAATGTGTTGTGTGTTCAGAGATGCTATTCTGCACACCTCGGATGTAATGAGTGGTTATTTGAGTTACTATTGCCTTTCTATCAGCTTGAACCAGTCTGCCCATTCTCCTCTGACCTCTGGCATCAACAAAGTATTTTTATCCCTTACTCATTCAAAAGGGGGTATTCAGTTAACAGCCAAGGAGAATATAATAGATTGTATTTTGGAAAAATGAAAGAGAGACACTCCTCTGTGAGATTCCCTGCTAGGACTTATGAGATATGTAAGGATTTCATTATAATACTGTAAGGGACATTTTTACACTTTTGCACCGCTGCTACATGCATTACCACGTAGCATGCCATTCATTTTAAATTTTACCCCAATGCACTAAGGCAAAACACCCATGTGTTGCAGCACACCACAACTCATAGCAACACATGCATACATTTTGTGACGCATCCAATTTTTGGTATAATTTGATGCGTTTGCAGCCTATTATTTTCAATGGACTTCCTGGGCCCTAGAAGTAATTCTATACAGGGAACATTATGTTCATACATATGTAGAGAACCCAACTAATTTTGGGTGCCTAAAGACATGCATGCATGTTTTTTTTTTTTATCTGCAGGCACATGGCTTTGCTTCCTAGGCTTCAAGCCTAGACATTTCAGACATTCCACCACAGCCTCCCCCAGGGCAGGAACCCGGAGGAGGAAGAGAACCTCACATGGTCCACCCCAAAGAATGATGTCCTTTCCCAGCATGCACCACTGGCCATGAACCTCCTAGTGATTGGCTAGAGAGACATAGATATATTTATAATACACCATTACTGGTTGCTCTGCTCTGTGGCAAGGTTACATCCAGCAGCGAGCAGATGCAAATGATAACAGAGTGCTTATCCAAATGAAACCAAATGAGCATAGATTATTAGACCAGGGTCAGACTGACTACAATCTGACAGTACTCTTGTTATGCAGGGTGGCTACAATTAAAAGACAGAAAAGTCAGAAGAACTCTAAAGCAACCTTTCAAACCAAATAATCATTCTCTGTGCACTGTTTGCTATACAGGAAACTTTTTGGTAGCTTTGTATCATGAGATTAACCTGACAATCTATTTCAGTGTGTTGCATATGAGGCATTTACCACCAAGATATTAATCTTCTGATACTAGACAAAAAAATCCTGCTATACATGCAGAGACATTCATTCACAATACATGCCAGAGCTGGTCCAGGTTGTTGTGGTTACTGAAAAAAAATCCCCTGGTGTGCAATGTGTCCTTCCCATGGCCTACTAAAAGAATTATGACCAGTTGGTCACACATTTGAAGTAAAAAGGGATCCAGTAGAGGCCAACTGCATCACTATCTACTGCAGTAGCCTGAAGATTGAGGAATTGTTGTCTTCCATACTGATAAGATTGCCATAGACATTGGTGCTGCCTTTCCCTGGCGCCACTATGACTAGTCTTTGTTTGATAAGCAACTGTATACCACATACATGGAGATGCAAGAAGGTAATCTGACTGAAGCAGAAGAGGAAAGCTCTAAAGAGCAGGGTATATTGGTAGTCCTGTAAGTTAGGATGGAGACCTTAAAAGGGAAAGATGAGAAGCTGTTTGAAAGCACCTCTCAGGAAAACAGCTACAAAAATAGTGACAACCCCTTCTGTCTGGAGAATTTCATGTCAGTGTCCCTGAGCTTTTTTTTTTTTACCTCTCTCCCACATACATGGATTTTACAATGGGAGCAGTACTTCACTTCCACATTTTTTGACTAACGGAGCCCTCTTGTTAATTTATATTAATTGAATAAATATTTAAAAATATTTCAGACCACTTTAATGTCAGATGACAGACACATTGTTGCTGGCTTCTAACATTTCAGAAATAGAGCCCACATTCGTCCATACTTGGTACTAAATTTTTGGCACAATTACCAAAATGTCTTACTCATTTTGGAGTGAAAAAAGTCACAAAGGTGACATAAGGAGAAGGATATGAGTTAGCTGTCAAGGTCAACTGGTTTTCTACCTATGACATGGAGAAACAGTAGCATTGACAAATGATGGAAGAATAACATTCAGTATGACCAGAACCCATTAACTACCAGCATTGCTATATAAAACATGAAACCAGTATGCAGATTGAAATTTCTAGGAAGCATTCAAAAAACTTGCTCTGTTGTTGAAAGCAATTTCTACAGCATTTATTTACATCCAATAAATTGTTGTCCACTGTTTGAATTCATGGATTTGGTTTATATAACATTCACTAAATAGAGGATGTGTATATTGTATACAGAGAGTCTGAAAGAAAGCTAGGCTAATAGGTGCTTTAATATACACTGAGTGGTCAGAATATTATGACAACCTGACGTTTGTAGGCAAATTAGCTATAATTAGCTATAATTTTGCGCTGAAGTTGCTAGAGGGCCAGACCATTATAAATAGGGAAGCAGGTTGTTTACCACGACAGTAGAAGTGATTTTTTTTCTGAAGATATGGGTAAACAATGCGATTTAACAGCCCTTGAACGTGGGATGATTGTTGGCGCTCAAGCGATGGAGCGAGTATCAGCAAAACAGCAGAATTCGTTAAATGTTCAAGAGCAGCTGTTGTTAAAGTGTTTAAAGACTGGACTGTCAGCTGAAAATCTGGGTCTGAACGTGCGAAGTGTGGCCGTCAGCGACTAGTCAATGTTACGGCAGAACGGAGAGTGGCAAGACTGGTACAAGACAACAGAAGGACAACAGTGCCGTGTCAGATTCCTCACATCACCTTTCAACATCTCGTGGAGTCACGAGGCGGCCCAACAAAGTCATCTCGTGGAGTCATCTCGTGGCCCAATGAAGTACTGATGGGGTGGTCATAATAATCTGGCCACTCAGTGTATATCATAGAAGATTATACCCGTAACACTACTTTGTGATCTTTACATGTTTAGTCAAGTATAGTAAATGCTGTTCACATTTTTTTTATTTGATAAACCATGTCCTGATGTTGTGCATGACATTTTCGAGTATTGTTGGCCATTGATCAATGTAGAAAGTTTGAAGTTTAAGTGATACCTTGGTGTACAAAGGTTATGGAAGATGAAAGCTTTCAGGGCCCCTAGGTCATTTCCTCAGGCTTTGCACAATTGTATATAAAGCCTAAGTAAAAGACCTACCGAGCCCCGAAAGCTTGAATCTACAGTAACTTTAATAAGCCAATAAAAGGTATCACCAATACTACATATCTTCGACAATACCATTAACTACTGTTGGGTGGTCTTTAGGAGATCTTAGCTTGTGTGGTATATTATTTGAAATATTTATCAGGATTGCCAAGTAGCATATTAACAAAATGTAAATTCACTCCTTGCCTTCAAACACTAACAGTGTCATCTGGAAAAAAAGATGGTGCTAACTAAACACATGAAATTTGCAGAGCTTCATTACTGATTACAATTGTATACATGGCGTTCTGCAGTGCCATGTTCCAATATAGCACTTACACTTGAGAGTCTCGCCATTATGTCCCTCCACCCCTGTCACCGCAGAAATGTAGAGGCACTGTGCTAGTGAAAATGTAATTCTAGTTCTTACTTGTTTCTATGGCAACAGAACACAGAAATGAATAAACTAGTCATGTAGTGAAATGTTCTCGATCATTTTCTTGTTCTTTCCTGCAAACCAGAGAATTCTGTCATATAGTCATGCTGTTGTTTAATTACAACATATAGTATAGAATATAAAACTCTGGATAAAAAGATGCATTTAGAAGAATCCTAATGGCTTTAATCATGTAGATTGTATTACAATAACTGACTTCCTGCAATGTAGAGAGATGCCTGTTAGACATTTTGTGAATGGTTTTTGTTCCCTCTCCTATTTCACTTTTTCATCCGTTTTCTTCAACCTCCATTTTATCAGAAGACTAAAATGGCTGCTGTAATTGCTGCTTTATTACAGTGTTTTTGTTTCAGACAGTACACAGTGGCACAGTAAAGATGCCCAAACCCAATTATAGTATGAGGTTCAGAACAGCATAGATGGATGTAGGGGCATACTAGGATTGTAAAAGATCTGGGCACTATTGGACACCACAAGGAGACTAATAATGTGGCGCACATTGCACAAAGTGGTGAACAGTGAGTTTGGTCAAATTGTGTTAACACTGGGAAGATTAAAGGCTTAAAGGGACATGGTTAAATAAAACCCGAGCTTATTCTCTGTATGCGTGACACAAATATGCCACAGTCCTTGCGCCCATGAATTTTGATTTGCTGTGCCACAAGATAGTCTCAGAGATATGTATAAATCTCAGCACAATCATTTTAAGAAAACTAAATGATTCCATTACATGCACAGTACAGAGAAACAGAATACTAACACTTTGTCTGCGCCTACCTCAAAGTATAACTTATCAAAATAGTCAGGGACTGCTTAGCAACTAGCAACTGGTGAGTCAATGAACATTTTGGACCGAAGCATGTAATGTTAAATATAGTGTATACAGTGCAGAAGTCTGTAACACACAGAGGACAGGGTTCAGAGGTCAGGAGTATGTATCACACAATACAGCAGTCAGGAGTTAAACTGGGTTTAGAAGTACATAAAAAACAGGGTGTTGGGTTCAAGAGTAAGTAATGCAGAGTTAAGGGGTTAGGAGTACATAGTGCACAGAGTGCAGGGGTCAGGAGTACATAATGCATTGAGTGTAGGGGTCAGAAGGACGTAATGCACAAAATGCAGGAGTTGCAGTATGTAATGCACAGAGTACACGGGTCAGGAGTACATAATGCATAGAATGCAGGTGTCAGAAGTACACGATAAGCAAAATGCAGGGGTCGGTGCTATGTAACACACAGAGTACAGGAGTACATTAATAGTTCCCCCCTCCTCCCAGTACAAATATCCCCCCTTGCAGAAATCCTGCTTCCAAGCATAACCCCCCCTCCAAATGTATCCTCCCAGCACAAGACTTCATTCCCCACCAACATTTCTCCTCCCAGCACAACTGTTTACCGTCCTAAACAAAAGAAAATCTCTCTTCCCAGCATCCTTGATTGGCAGATGTCAGTCTGGGGGAGTGGGCATTGCTAGGCATGATGTATTTGCATGCGGACTGCCCTAGTTAACACTCACATGTGATGCTGAACCTCCATGATTGAAAGATATGAAATCCAATGCATGAAAGGGACGGGTCAGGGACAGTCAGGATAGCTAGGATATTGCTTGTTAAAGCTGAACATGCTCCAGCCAGGAAATGAGCCAGGCTGTATCGGATTTGCTGCAGCTTCTACTGCACATTGCAGGAAGCTCACAGTGTGCAGTGAAATCAGATTAAGCAATTTAATTACAGGAGAGGAGCCTGTGCAACTGTGCAAGACAGAAGGGAAGGTTGGAATTCCAACTTAATGATGTCTTTAAGAGAAACAAACACTTTCTGAATGCTTTATTCATCAATATAGGATTCCTGTCAATTGTAACTATTGTCATTAGTAAATTTATCTAAGAACAAACACAGGATGTTTTGTGTTAGGGGAAGATTTTTTCTTAACATTTTGCAAATCCATCAGTTTTCACTGACAGATGTTTAGTCTGTTAATTTCTACAAAGAATTAATTCAAAAATGTGTTTAAAAGCAGTTACAGATCAGTACAGAATTGCTAATGTATGACTTAATATAATGGCTAATTTTAGCAGTGAAAGTTTCCATAGTCAATGGCCATTCTATAGTTAGTTATAGATTATCACCAAAGTAATTCTTTAGGAAATGATACCTTCTGTATTGACAGGTTAATCTGACAGACAAATCCATAGCTAATTTTCTGAAGTCTTGGATAGAGTAGGAGAGGGTTAAAACGCCTCTCAATTGGTGTTCCCATTGAAAGATTTTCCCCAACAGTAAAATGTTGGCTCTTCCATCTCTTTCTGTCAATGATCACCAGGATAAACAAAGGGTTGAAATGCTTTAGGTGGAACCCTCTACCTACTCCATCCAAAACTACCCTGTCAGATGCAAATATGCAATTCCTTTAAAAACAAATGGATCCTTCAGCATATTAAACCTTTTCAATAGAAGCCTGGGCGACTAAGCTGAGGGTGTTTTATATATTTAATATAATTATTATTTTTCATTATTGTTATTTATTATATACATTTAATACATTGCCGCTTACCAATCCTTAGAAGTGGCTGCATCAATTTTTTTGGCTTTCTTCCTTTATTTGCACCTAGTGATTTGGGCAGTAACACACTTCCTGTCTTAAGGTGGCTACGCTCACTCCTCCACTGTATCCACCGAGGTGCAATGGAACCACCTTTGGACAGCACCTGTGTAGAGGGAACTGTTGGACTAATAGATTTAGATCGACTTGATAGCATTGACTAACAAATTAAAGTCTGACTCCAGCTAACACTTTTTAAGCGGTGACAGAAATTGGCTTTTTCCTTTTGGAATAACATTTTTAAGTAAGTAAATGAAAGCTGGCCATTGTAATGGTTTGTCTGAGCTCTTTAACTTCCGCCTTTGCTTGACAGCTTGGTCTGTTAAAGGAAATTGAAAAATAACAGACTTATTGGCATCACTCCCCATACTTTAACCAGTGCTGCCTGATTAGAACTCCCGGGGTACGTTGGGGTTAACGGGTCACCCAGCACAT